AATTTATTGTGAGTCGGCGATGATATTAATTTTAAAGTAACACCACCACTTTTTGTATAGGAGTTAAAACGTGAAACCTTCCATCGTCCATGGGGTTTTATGAAGGTTATTGTTTAGAATATTATACTTACCTAAAGGTCGAGATTTACGTGAAAAGGTGAAGAACCTTTTTTTTAGCTAACTTCGAAAATTGTAAAGTATAAAATTACCCAACTGTATTAAATAGCTTGATATTTAGTAAATAGCCCTCATAAATAGAAAACAATACGCGGTTAGAATGATTGAAATATATCCGCTGTAACCGGCTGCTGAAGCAAAGTTCATGGAGTCAAGTACGACGGGCGCAAACCTCGCGCAATACATAAACAATACTAATTTACACCCACAATATAACTGATTGTAGTATGTATATGCCTCTGTATACGAGCCTCATATACACTACGACAATAAAATTGCACTATGAAACAATAGGGGCTTCGATGACTGATTGATTGTAAGTCAATGCTAAATTAACATTGATGATTTATTAAAATTTTCCGTTTGTAAACGCTGTAGTGTTGTATCCGACTAATCACGCGGCTGATTACTGATTGATTGCACAGACAAAATTAATTATAATTAAACATGGTATAAGATAATAGATAATAATTAATCAAGAGGGAGTAGCTAGGGACTGAGTTTCTTGGGCGATTTCACACTAAAAGGGGCTTAGCTATTAATTTCGGCTTCTAAATATGTATTAATCATGATTTAAAAGTAATATATCAGTCATGACTTTGTTTATTACCCGACTACGGCAAAGCAAAAGGAGGGTTATGATTTTGACAGGCTATGTATGTATGTATGTATGTATGTTCATCTGTTCCCTCGTAACTTCTAAACTTCTTATCAGAATTCGACAAATGACATATCATTAGAAGCATCTTAATTGTCCGCTGGTTATAGGCTATATGGGGTTTTACAAAATCTAATGTGGCGCCCTCTAGCGGACAAAACATACAGAGTAAAAAAATAAAGTTAAGATAAATATGCCGTGTTTGGTATCATTTGAAAGCGCTTTACTTGTACATTTCGAATATATATATATTAGTAGCATTTGCTTGTGACTTTACCTGTATTCATAGGCTGATTGCATATAACTCACATTTTTTCGTTCATACCTTCTTTGCTACTTATCAGTTCATCAATTTAACTTTAGTTAATATTATGCGCCACAAATACACTGTAACACCAAAACATTACAAATAATAAATAAAAAGTAAAAAAACTAAAACCCAACTACGACAAAAAACGACGCTGAAAAAGTATAAAACAAGATTTTCAGTATACTGAACTGAACAAAGTTGCTAATGTAGTTGCATAGTAATTTTCATGTTTGGAAAGGCGTAGTCACACGTTACATATACCTATCTACCGTAGCACTTTGACAACGTGTGACTGCGGTTTTCCAAACATGAAAATTACTATGCAACTACATTAGCAACTTTGTTCAGTTCAGTATACTGAAAATCTTGTTTTATACTTTTTCAGCGTCGTTTTTTGTCGTAGTTGGGTTTTAGTTTTTTTACTTTTTTTTTCAACTGACTTCAAAAAAGGAGGAGGTTCTCAATTCGACCCGTATGTTTTTTTTTTTTATGTTTGTTACGCGATAACTCCGCCAATTATGAACCGATTTGAACAAATCTTTTTTCTGCGTATAGGTAATACCTCAAGGGTGGTCCCATTTAAATTTAATAATAGAAAAAACAACCCCCAAGGGTGGAAAATTGGGGATGAACTTTTTTATACGCAATATCTCCGCCGATTATGAACCAATTTGAAAGATTATTTTTTTGTTGAATAGGTATTATCAAAAGGGTGGTTTCATGCGAATTTGAAGAAAATATTTCACCCCCAAGGGTGGAAAATTGGGGATGAAATTTTTATACCCAATATTTTCAATTTTTAGTTTTTTTTGTGTTCACGCATTTGAAGTCGGTTTAATTTTTTTTAAAAGTGAATTATTGAGTCAGACATCCAGACTGGACTAAGACCTCACATACCTAATAAATAAGGAGCTAATACTCGTAGATGATGAATCAGTCTGCGTCTCGGGCAGCATTGATCAACATTAATATTAAAAGTAAATTAAACCTACCTCAGATTTTAACAAATACATTATGCTATCAAACAAAACAAGGTAGGTAGGTAAAAATAGGCTTAGTAGTTTTTAAGCCCATAGATAATAAAGACAGATAAAAACTATATTTTAGGACGCCTAAGTTTCTAAATAAGACCCATTAAATTTTTATAGCCAATGTCTGTCTGTAAATTTTGATTGGATAGAGTTAATTTAATTATGTTTATTGGGTATTATTGGGTATAAAAGTGACGTGATTTGTTTACTTGGTAGCAAGATTTTTCCACTACACTGCTTGTTTATCCAGTGGTTGAAGTTCAGTACTAATAACGGTATTGTGTATAATCTGTATGAATCATGGTTATGAGTTAACGAAGTAGTAACGTAATGTGCTGCCAACACCTCCCACTAGGTGGACCGACGATCTGATGGGGGTTGCGGAAGGTGACTGAATACGGGCGGGGCAGGTCCGGTCGTTTTGGAAATCCTTGGGGAAAGCCTTTGTCCAGCAGTGGACGTCATTCGGCTGAAACGAACGAGTTAACAAAAACATAACTTACTTACTCTACCAACTCTACTATATTAACCGATTACAAAATTTTCGAAGCCAAGATTTAAAACATGGAAAACCCAATGAAATATAAAATAAAATAAAATAAAATAAAATAAATAAAATAAAATAAAATAGCCTCTTAAACTATTTGTAACTAACCAATTAAGAGCTCTTGGCAGTTAATGAGCTAATTATTTAAGTAACTGTAAACATCTTAGTAGAACAGACTTTACAGAATTACTTCACAAAGATAAGTCAGTGAGTCACTTGCTATGAAAAATTGTGATAAAATTATGTAGACTGCATAAGTGGGTCATGTACAGTTTGCTGTAGGAGTTAGCTACGAGCAACAACACGAGTTGGTGGTTAGCAGTTCGCTTCGCAAGGTCATAGGGCACAGCATTCAGAAAGTTTTGTGTTGTAAAAATTAAGGATAGCAACCATGACGGTGAAAAAGAGAACTTTTTTCTCTAAAATTCAATTTGTCTAGTGTCGTCTTAATTACTTCTTAAAATAAAAACAGAATAAATTCTAAAAATACGAGTAGGATTTCTAATATTTTATTTTTGTATGCAATTTGAAATTGATGAGAAACATTTATAACCTGCTACCTATGTCTATTAAGGGAGGTAATTAGACCACCTATCAATTCAATCATTAACTTTTTATTTATTAATAACAATTTTGAAATAACGCCAGCTTACTCAACTGTAAACAATTTCAAACAATATTCAATGTATTCAATGACGAATATGCGTTTAATATAGGTAAATATTAAATAATAACAAAACTAACATAATTATATTATTTAGGTAGGTATATTTCGTTTACATTAACACATCCTGTGGGTAATTTCCCGTAAGAACGCAAATAACAAACAATTAATGGAAAGTGTTAATTCTTTTTAGATACATGACTTAGGCTTACTTAAGCATAACTAAAAAGAGACTGATAGAGATGAGCAAAAACTAAACCAACTGATGGCTTGCCTGTCGCGAATATACTTATCAAAAAGTAGGATCCAAAGTTCCAAGTTTTGCATAACAACATTCAAGATAAGCAAAGCAATTATTGCACTACACTCGCGTCAGTCCAGTAGGTTCAAGAGCAGGTCGGGCAAATCTGGAATTATCTTTACGACCTAGGAGATTTAATGTCATGCACATGCCGGCTACTGTGCTGTGAGCTACAAACATGTGACATACGGTCATAAATCACAGGTTATCTCCTACACAAGTGCTAATGCAATCTTTGTAGAAACTATGGTTAATTAGGACACGCATTCTTCGCAATAGGGTAAAATAACCCTTTTATACCTCGTTTCTCGACTAAAATTAGAAATTCGATCCATAGCAATCAACGATGACCATATTATTATTCATGAAGTCTATCCAAGCATAGCCATAACGGCGCCGCGGCGCGGCACGAAAATAAAAAGCTTTTACATTATGCAGGAAGGTTAGGGAAGTTATGGGATAACCATATAATAATATTATTATGGTTCATTATATGATTTAAGTTTGTGTTGGAATTTAGTTCAGGATCTTCCTTCAGTCAAAAAAAAACTTAGAACATCAGAAAATGATACGCCATCTCACCATTTTACTTTCTTTAACATTCGCGCCGCGCACTTTTCCGGAACTTAGGATATCATTTTCTTTTCTTTAACATCCGGCTGCTTTTCCGGGACTTGAGTTACTGTTTTTCTAGTCCTAGACAAATAAGTAGGTATACCAAAGTACTTTACCTAGACTATAAGTTGTTTTGATCCCAAAATTCATTCACCTGTGCTCACATGGCGAAGTCCGCGTGGGCGACAGCGGCCGGGCGCGTCACGCCGCAATTGCGCCCGCTCAAGTGGAATCAAGTGCACTAAACTTCCATTACTTTTGTCAGAGTTGCGCCTACAGACATCCGTTAACGGGTCGTGAGAGCTCTTCGTGCGGTCGACTAAATGCTCTGATCGTAGACCTTAAAATCATCTTCATAAAGCCTTTTTTCGAACCTTATCTTGCGCACGGTCAGCTGCCGCTAGTCACGCGCAATTGTTGTGAAAACCGATTATAGCTTATCCATTCAACTGTTTTAGTCGATCAGATCCATCCTTTGGAAACTAAGTTACTTATACCTAATTTCCACTTCCAGTTTCTTATCCTTATCAAGGTGTAGAGATTCATCTTGCGTCCATTAAATATCAGGTCAAAATGCTGCCAAGAAACATATTATAGAGTCTAATTCCGACATAGAACAACACAACAACTGATCTTAAAACCACCGATACAGCACACTAATTTCATAAATCTAAATGAATTCGTGCTTTTGTTTCAGGGCATTCCGATCTTTCATGAAAAAGGGGAAAAAAGGGCAACAGAACGAGAAAACTTCACAAGCAAACGGAGAGAGCAGTCCTATAGTTTACCGACGTGCATTACAATGTAAGGAGCTTTAGGCCTTTAGCTATAGTATTATGCACTACAATAAAAATAAATGTACCTAGGTAGACGTAAGTCTACCTTAAAAATTATATCGTAATCTTTTACCTGATCCATTTTTGATAAATATTCGTAATACATAATGTCTATTTATATTTCATGATATTAATCTTATCCTGCGTTTTTATCTTTGCGTTCATATTTTTTAACTAAGTACCTACTGCCTAGTACATAATCAGATGAAATTAAACCTCAAAGGCTCATCATAAGGTTATTTCATCTCCATTATAGGACCCTTACCCTCTCTGATTTGTGTGGTTTTGGCCCATGCTGGCCAGACTGGTTGAGGCTTGATATTCGCATATTTCTCCCATAGTCGCTTTCATTCACTAACTTTATCTTTACAGTCAAAGTTTTCTTAGTCCGTCACACGAAAATAGGCCTTAAAAGCCCAATATAAGATGTATAATGACTTCAGACTCGTCAGCAGCTTCGCCAGGCGCCCGCAGCACGGTGGCGTCGCCGGAGCGCTACGTGTACGGGGGCTCCATCACGCCGCTCCCGCGCTCGCGCTTTCAGGAGCGACTGCGCAGCTCCAGCCAGTATGAAGTCAACTCCCTGAGGTTAGTTGATCGTTTAAGGCAAATGACATCCACTGATGTACAAACTTACTTAGGTCCTACGTCCCCTAGATGTGTTTTTGCCAAAATGACGTCTACTGCTGGACAAACTTGACTTATTAAAGGTCCTATGTCCCCTAGATGGGGCAGAGAGCGTCCACAACAGTCCTCCATCGCGTTCGGTCTTGAGATTCGCGTTTGATCTCGCTCCAAGTCTTGCCGATTTTCTTCGCCTCGTCTGTTACAGTGCGCCGCCAAGTTTCCTTGGGGCAACCACGATTGCGTTTTTTTATTTCGCTGGACAAAGGCGTCAAGGATTTCCATAACGACCGACGAGGTTAAATGCTTTGTATAACTATTGATAAGCAAGAGCACTTGGTAACCCCCGAAGGAAATGTTCAAGAATGAAGACCGCGACTCACTATACTTACTTAAATCACAAAATTCTTAGTTATACGTAGTACTTATTATTATTCTGTAGTTATACTTACAACGGGGAAAACTAAGAACAACACGAGTTGCTCTTATACCCCATTCCCGTGTCGGTCGCAAGTCATTGCATACAGGGTGTTTCTGTTAAAATAGATTCATATTGCTAAGCTTAAAAATTCCTGAAAATCATGTCTGGCGCCCATGCCCGTATTACTTAAATAGCGGGTTTAACGTAGACCGTCCCATTCGCATTTCGTCACGAATTCAAAAATGGACCCTTAATATCCAGCTGGTATTCGTTTGCTGTCTTAGATGTGGCTTTCTAAAGGTTCGCAGGTGGCGATCACTGCATTTTAGTCTGGTCGCCATCGCTGCACGCCGGCTGATCGCGTGTGATCGCGTTGGTTTGGCCGAACCTTAAATCCTTGTTTATTAGGGAATTAATGCGTAACTTTTAAGAGTTTCTACACGCGGAACTCTATCCCACTTTTATAAAACTCGTTCAGGTTGGCCAATAATTAGATACCTTATCTAGATAAACGCTTCAGTGAATCAACACTACTACTAGAGATAACAAATGTCCACATACCTATTCGATACTCTCATAGAGTAAACGTACCTCCATGGAGTAAACCTCAAGTTTAGCATAGTGGATTATGCTCATGTGTACCTACCTAAAGTTACGGAGGTCTTAGGTATTATGTACTAACCACGAAGGTACTAACTGTAACTTATTAACTTTACGTACAGCACATAAATGAATACCACTATAACAACTTGTGGTCATAGATTAATTAATTCATTTGTTTTAAGGAGTTTCTAAAATTATGACGGTTCAACTGATTTCTGATCTGACGTTTGAAATAAAATTGCTTCATTTGCGTCATATTTTTGGCCGACTCTATCTTTTCTTCACATTTTGTAGAAAATGGGGCCCGTTACGAACACTAGTTTACACTCACGCAAGATAAAGATGTAAAATGATGTCATCTTTATGTTTTGCCTCGCTTATTAATGTTGTCATACTCACAATGACAACATTTTTAAGGCTATTGTGGCTGTTATTTTGCATTTATCCACATTCCATCATCTAGAAACATTAGAAAACATAAGATTCATTTTTAAAACGGTTTTATTAGCAAAACAATATCATTATTACCAGTCTCAAGAATCAAAGCATTTGCCACGTTATTCATTTTCACCTTGAGCCTTTATTTAAATATAATCTGAGTGCATGCGATGTTTTTCCTTCCGTTATTGACCTGCGACTGCGAGTTCAAAACAATTGACTACATGAATGATCAAATTCCTTGGTGTTATGCAACATGTGTTGTGAAACAGCCTCTGTGGTATAGTGGTAACTTGGTAAGACAACAAGATCATCTCTGATCCAGAGGTTCCGGGTTCGATTCCCAGTGGGGCAAAATTGTATGCTCGCTTAGGGTGGTTGGGGTTGTTCCAAGTCCTCCTGAATCTATCATCGTCTTAGGTACTACCTAAGACGAGGTACCTAAGTCTTTACCTAGCCATATCATGTTAATGAAGGCCTGCCAGTTTCTCTGTTCAACTGTAAGCAACCACTTGATGGCCCGTGCACCAATCCAAGTGAGTTTACTTCAAACGCATTCGATATCGACTATAAAATAGTGACATTCAGAGTAGGCACACCGTTGATTTTTCGTCGGCCGATAGTTTAGTCGGGCAGTTGATCAGTATGGGCAAGTATGGGAGTGCGCACACTACGCCGCGCCGATTCGATTTGGCCGATTCTTCATACAATTTAAAATCGGGCACAACTATCGGCCAACTAAAAATCAACGGTGTGCGCCTACTCTTAATGTCACTATTTTATAGTCGATATCGAATGCGTTTGATTGTACAGCGCCCCTAGCGGAAACTTTCAAGAACTAAAATCTTCATATATTTTTAACGCAGTCGATGTCAAATGCGTTTGACGTAAAGTCACACTACGCCCACAGGTTATGTCGTCTCCACCAGTCTGCAGGCTCTAATTAAAAACGGCAGGACCTTAGATTTACACTCCCCAGTCCCACACGGGCCAGACGGGTTGAAGAAGGCTGATGTCCGACTATTTCGCCAATCTACGCCCAAAACAAGATTGATATTGTTTTTAGGTAACAAGATTTTTTTTAAATTCCAGTGCGACTCCCCGCATGGCGCGGAGCGAGGTGACGGGCTCAAGACTGAGCGTGGGCAGCAACAATCCTTTCGACGAAGACGAACCAGTGCCGCCGGTGCGCGCGCGCCGAAAGAAGAAGCGCGCACCGGCGCCGCCCGCGCCTGCTTCCGCCGACGTCTCTGCTTCCACGCTTGATGTAATAATAATTCTTGATACATATTTATTGGCAGTTTAACCACCATAGTAAAGTTTTAATAACCGGAAAAATATCGACAAACTGCAAACTCTACCGTGTTTCTTTAAACGATATTGTCTGGCGCGGATCCCATCCCATACTCTTGACATCACTGGCACTGGCTGATGACCCGACCCGATGATATATTCTATGTAATGTTTATTGGTTATTTTCGGACGCGATAGATACGTAAAGTTAAACCTAAATTATTATTTTGTTTTTCAGGTAAGCAAAGACAGCTCTGAACTCCATATCAGTGATGTTAACGATACAAAGTTGACAAACGCTGACGGGGAACTGGAATCGGAAGACTTAAACTTCAACGTTGAACTTAAAATTGTTGAGGACGAAGATGAAAAAGAACGTCGTATAAAAGAAGACACTGCGGCATCAAAAGTTGAAGAAATCCCCGATGATAAAAACAAAGAAAATGACGAAGACCATGTTATACACAACGCTGATTCAGAAGATGATATTCTCGCGAAAACTAATTTTGATAAAGTTGACATTGTTAAGTATAGACGAAATTCCAGCGTAAACGATGATGACATACGATTGCGTCGCGGTAACCTAGAAGATTTTCACGCGCTGTCCAGCAAGAGAAGCAAAAGTCTTACGAATGCCCTTGACTCTAGCTACATGACTTACGACATAAACTTAAACGAAGAGAAGATAACGACTGATGCCAACAGCAATCAAGAGCCTCAAAAGGTGGTTTGTAAACTGTATGACGATTTGCCTCGAAAACAAAGCATCGACACTATATCAAGCACTGAAAAGGAGTTTATAGAAATTGATAAGGCGACGCGGGAGCTCGAACGAGAGATAAGCAAGTTAAACTCGGCGCTGAATGAAGATGACGATATCTTGCAGACAGGAGCAAAACATTCAGTTTCTGATATAAAACGAAGGTTCGACAAAACTGACGTTTCGTCGCCAAACCCTATTCCTAAGCCAAGGAGGAGTCATTATGGAGAACCTGGTTCTCCCTTGAACGGGAATATTCCTTCATAATATAAAACATTCATTAGGCTTTGTCTCGCGCGAAGAATGATTGAGCATGAAAGTGTTTAAAGGTTGGATCTCAAAGTTGATAGTCGTGCCTAAGAAAAAACAGTGCCTTCAAAAGAGTAAACAATAATAAAGATAACATACGTAATAGCAATTCATATTATTTTTGAAAGTTCAGTGGCATTTTACAACGGATAATATATATTCTGCCATAAATTAATTATGCAGTAGATTAAGACCTGATTGTGATAACTGTACATTACGTATAATTATAATTTTGCTTGTGTATAATTATTTTATATTCCAAAGATGCGTTGAAATATTGAATTCATTTAACCTGTAATTTAACCCAGTATGCAACCTTTTAATAATAAAGTACATACATATAATACATAAGTTTTATGTCAAAAGTAGAGATAACAGAGTAGATTTTTTATATCCCTTGTACATTATTTTATGTGTTTAGTACTCCAAACTGTGAAATTACTGTAAGATGCACATAGTCTCTATCAAAAGTTAATATGATAGCTTATGATAGTCCGCACATGAATGGCGTAAAAATGTACAAGAATCCTATTAATTAATATTATTTTCAAGAGGGAATTAGAAGTTTAATATTTATTACTAGTTCAATCGTTGTTGATAAATTATTACATTATATTATTTGAGTTTCATTTACAAGTCCCACCCACACAATAAAACAATCTAATATTATTTTAACTTTAATGTAATGATAATTAGTATAAGCTGTACACATAATATAGAACTGTATCAACATCGATACCAAATTATAAATTAATATTTTACTTACAAACTACTTATTCTTCCTTTTTTGTACTTTATAAATCTAGGCAAGTTTGAAGTTGCTGTGCTTACCAGTACTTTGTATTCCTTAGGAAGTCGTTTCTGCTGTCTTGCCTGGAAAATAAATGTATATGTATGAAATAGAAATCAATTATTAAAATAAATATATTACTCAAAATATTCTTAACCCTTAATTTGGCAGACTCATTATTTATCAAGAAATAAAAATACATCGTCGGATTTATGTTCTTAGGATTATTTATAGGTCAGAAAAAAATATATAAAAAATCGGAACTTCACCAAATAGAAAAAAATCAATGTTCATCCCAATGAACACTGCCAAATATATGGAGAATTTTAACTGTTCATTGGGGTGAACATTGCCAATTTAAGGTAGAGGCATTAAATTAAAACAATTATTCATATAAAAAGTAAAATTTATAGTATTAAACGCTTTTTGGTGCACAAAATAGTAAGAAATTAACCATTACCATACAATTTTGTGTGATCGTTGAGGTAAAACAATGTTTAAAGTTTTTAAAGATAAAAAAAAACTTTTTTGTTCATGTAACTTAAAAGTGGACAAGTCGCACAAAATAATAAAAAAAACAGCTCCCACATTTATAAAATATATTCTTCAGGGTTTAAATAAAAAAGTAAAAATGATTTTAATCAAAAATATTCTTTGGAACTACAAACTTTGAATCTACAAACAACCGCTAAATTAAAATATGTAACTATATTGCATGAAAATTTAGAAAACAATTATGTCCACTTTTACAAGCAACAAAACATTATTCTGATATTACATTTCATGCAATATACAGTATCAAGCTGCCAACAACTCAAACAAAATAAAAATTAACTCTAAATAAAGAAATTGGTCCACTAAAATAAAATTAAGCAAAAATAAAGGTTTGATAGCCTATTTGACAACGTTCACTGGGATGAACAATCAAACATTGCTGGTAATTTGGCAATGTTCACTGGGATGAACACTCGACTTTGACCTGGTATAGCATGGCTTATTTATTAAATGAGCATTGTAAATCAAGCAAGTTATTGAGCATGAACACTATGCAATACGTTAAAACCACTGTCATTACTCAATTATAATAAAAAACATGTAAAGCTTGAATAAACACCTTGACACTAAAGCCTGGTCTTCGCTATGTCGGCATTTTGGCTAAAATTAACGCTTTCAGACTGTAGCTAGCACATAAAAATATTTTTCTACCAAAATTTAAGTATATTTTCTAGTGAAAAAAAAAACTTACCAGTAATTAAGACGTATGCACTCGGCATATTATTTTTTTCAATTTAATGTTCATCCCAGTGAACAAAATCAAATGAAGGGTTAATCGCGATAGCCGATACATACCTTATTTTTCAGTATAGGCGCCAATACGGCCAATTTATCAACTAATTTAACTTTTGCTGCTAAAATATCTGTCTCATCTTCAGAATATAAATCAACTATTGTGTCAATAGCCTCAGCTAAAACCCAGACCTCATTCTCTTTATGAGCCTGCTCTAAGATAAATTCAGTTATTGTGCATATCACATTCGAAGTAATTTCATTTAAGTTGTTGACTAACAATAGGGCTAAGATTCCAATCATCCTGATAAGGTTTGCTCTTATTTCTGGAACTTGACACTCTTTTATCCCTGTCAACATCATCTGTAAATAAAAAAATCGTATATTAATCAACATCTGAAGGTAAGTCATAATCAAATTATAGTTAGGTATACATACACATGGATTTCACATACCTCTATATCTGTTAGGGCCATATCACTAAATAAATTACAGCCATTGAGGTCACCATTTTCTTTGACTTTCAGTTTTTCCAACGAAGCTCTCATTACTGCCGTGGAAGACTCCAATAAGTTAACATTCTCTGCATTTTGTTGGAACACTAATTTGCCTGTATCCACCCATATTTTATATACCCTACTGGCTCCCCCCAAACTTTCAATGGGTAATGTGGATAGCATGTTGTTGATACAAAGTAAAGCTCTTGTCTGGACATTGTGTAATCTGAAAAAAGATAATAACTAATTTCATTACGCCTTGCATAGGCATTTAGTAATAAGATAAGACCTCGACCTTGTTATAACATTGCTTAGCATTTATTTTAAAATAAATACATACTTTTTATAAATCAACTGTGATCCTTCATACTCTTGCAAAATCATCATGACATTTTGTGCAGGCAGCTGAGTCCTAGACCATACTTTGTCAAATATTTCCAGTGAGATCAATGCCTCCATGACCTCTGGAGGTAGTTTGTCTTCAGAGAGGAGTGGCTCATCAGTATTAGTACATATTTCTTCTTCTATTTCACTGTCTGAATCATCCTCATCTATGTTTTCATCACCCTCTGAAACACAGAAAATAATCAATTCAACTTTTTCTTCTTTAACGTTAATTGAAACAATTGAGGACACAAATCTGTATGCAGCAGACTTTATTAGCCATCAGCAATGGTTAATATATTCCCTTCAGTCATTAGACAACTTAATATTTATAAAAAGAAATAATATAATGCATGGTATAGCATACTAACCTTCACAAGAGCAAAGATTCGCAACAATTTCAACAGCACTTTGTTGTGCATCTAACAACTGAGACACGGCCTTCAATTGATTTTCTAAAACCTTGGCTTCACTCCCTTTGGGTGCAACAATATTTCCCTTGTTATCCCCTAATGGCACATTACTTGATAACTGATTGCAAGCCAGCCTGTGGTCAACTGATAAAGTATTAGCCAGAATGGCAATGATATCATTCACAACATTAGCTGGTAAACCTACAACATTTCCTCCACATGTGTTTATAATCACACCAGCTGCCAATGTCTTTGTCAAAAGTACTGATGGGTCAGTGCCTTCCAATGATATAAATTCTTGTAATTGTTTCTCTGAGTTAGCCTTCACTTTTTCCATAGCAAAGGGGTTATCCTCTACAACCACAAATAGACACTGTAATACAGCAATGACAACATCACAACCAAAAACTGACAGGTTCAAATACCTCGGTAGAATGTCAAGTATTTTTGACTGTCCCAAGTATTTGACAGCAAGTTCTGTAAATATAAAAATAAATATTATGAAATTAAGAACAGATTGTATGTCAATAACCATGGAATAATCTTCAACCACTTACCAGAGCTCTCACATAAATTCAGAAGTAAGTTTGTACATTGAATAAAAGTGTCTTTATCATCGTCTTTAGTTTTAGAGTTGTTCTCTGGAGTCCACTCAGCAGCATGCTGTAAATAAAAGTTTTGGTGAGAACTTACAGCTTCAGTAAATTAAACAATTTCTTAAAATACAATAGAAATTATCTACCTCATGATAATAGCACGTAAGTGGTGTCATTATATCTTGTTCCATCAGCTGGTCACATACTTCCAGCTTTACAGTGGACAGATTCCTCAAGGTACCGGCAGCTGCATTCCTCACTGAACTTGCAGCATCAATGAGTAAAGGTGCCGCCACCTTAACTATACCTCGATTAATTATCTCATCAATATTCTCTGGACTTTCAATAAGCATTGCCAGTGTTTGTAAGCCACAGTATTTTTCTTCAACATTTGCTGTCTGAAATATAGTTTATCAATTCGATTATTATTTACAAAATTCACTGTATATAGAAACAACTACAGAGTAAAGTATCGGCTCATTTTAGGACAATACAAGTTATCTGAAAAACAGTAAAATAGACCTAACCTGTAATTGATCCAATATAGTCTGCAGTGCATTTTCTTTGGAATCCACTGGCATTTCTTCTTCTTCGACTGAATGGCTTTCAACAACATTCTTCTTTGTTCTTGCAGGCCTTGACTTTTTAACTTTCCCCATTGTTTAGAGAATTATAAAATTTTGTAACCTCAAATTTAGCACGCCGCGCTACAGCGAGAAAATGACACATGACACATAGCAGAACCAGCTGTCAATTAGTGTTGTACTAAGTGAAAAATGATTTAATAGAATAGATTATCGATATGTAAGTTGAGGCAATATAATTTTTTTTTTTTAAATAATTGCTTTTATTTAACTAAATTCGATACAGCTTAGTATCTACAACTACGTACGAGGACAATACTAAAAGTAGAATATTAGGTTATGCATTATTTTATTTGAACATACTTTTTATTACCTACTTTTTCTATAAATGGTTAAAACTTACTATTATATTACTTATTACGTTGGTTATACAATTAATTTGTCATTGGTTTTTGGTTTATAAACAATTCAATTCATTTATTCATTGTAGATCATTAATTCTGTAAATCTTCCTGTACTTACATCTTCAATAGTTTCTACGACGGCATAAAACTTTTTGTGTAATACACAACGAAAAATGATATTATATAGATTTTTTACTTCCTTTTATGATAAAAACTTGCTTAATTATTATGGTTATGGTTTAGTTTTGAAAGTTTTTTTATCGATCTTTACACAATAATACTATCGATTGCTGAACAGCACTATTCAACTGTCATTAAAACTGACAGATGACAGTTGATAACTTTTTTTATTGTTTGCGCTGCTAGTCATATAGCAAAGGAAACAGATGTCGGAGCCATACAGAAAAAAACAGATATTTATTTATTTATTTAATCTTCAGCACACAAACTAACAATGCACTGTGGCGGACTTAATGCTGGATGGCATTATCTGCCAGATATAGAAAAATAACACGTTATTTTCAACATAAAATTAATTGATACAAGCACTTATAGCCTGTAAAAAACTTTTTCTCTTTATAGGCCAGTATAGGTGTACCAGAATCTCATGGCAAACAAAAATATTGGAAAAGTGTGTTTTTCATATGGCAATTGTCTATGGTTTAATTGTCACCTGTCAAAGAAAATTATGAAATCTGTCAGCCGCTGCAAAATTTTTGTAATCTCTTCTTGACTGTTTGTTATTTTTGTGAAAAAGTCGAAAAAGTTCAAGCAACGCATATTGTTTTCAATGTGAATTGTAAAATAAGTCATAAAAAGTCAATCTTTGATTCTAAAGCGCGCGTCGAGTTGACAGTAAGTTGGACTGAAATGTTTTGATACATTTAGTTTATTACCCAACTGCGTCAGAAGGNGATGTACCTTCTTGTATGGTACTTAGATGAAGCAGCTAGCAAATGTGTAGTATTGGCATTATAATTGGTATTGACCATTATCATCATGATCCAATAATAAGGATTTAAGAACAGCATGCTGCAGCATAGGCATACTAGGTTCCTAGTTACGAATAATTAATGTAGAGTTAGGTGAGCTAATTGGTAATAATACGTGGGACACTATTTAAGTTGTGAGCCTAACTATGAAAACAAAGTAATTTATTATTAAAATGGTATTGCGTATATTGGTATTGTCTTTCATGATTTATGTACTTTTTAATGTGTCCGAAACGGTATCCTTCCGTTTGGCCAAATTACTTTTCGCCAAATTTCACTTCGCAAACAACTTATCGCCAAAGTTTCATTTCCCAAATAAACTTTTAGCAACTGTACTTTTCGCAACTAATTCATTTGGTCAAATTAACATTTGGCCAAATTTTACTTGGCAAATGTTTATATAGCAAATGTTTTATTTTGCCAAATATTATATCCCAAATAATTTGCTTGGTCAAATTGACACTTCACATACTTACGAGTACCCACCGTTACCCACAAATCAAAGCATAAGGCACATGGTCATGGTTTTCACAATAATTTTATGTAAAACAGAGAGATTGCAGAAAATAGTATGGTTGCAAAAAGTAGGTATTGTAGAAAATAGTAGGTTAGGTTAGGTTAGAACAGTGACCCTTAATGCGCGAAGGCGAGCGAAGCGTGCCGCGGCAGCGGCCGCCGAGCGCTAGAATCATCTCTATTGTTAATGAATCATTTGGAAATTTCGATAAAAAGAATGAAATATGAAAATTTATTTAGAAAAAAAATATATTAACTACCCACTAAACCAAATAATAACCACAAGCTAATTTGTATTCCATTCTATGCACCAATCAAATTGTTTTGTAAATAGTTTATCGTGAAATATTTTTGCCAAATGAAACATTTGGCAAAACATACTTTGCCAAACAATAATTTGCTAAACAATAATATGCCAAAAACGACATTTGCGAATTAAAAGTTTGCAATAAGTTGTTTTGCCAAATGAGAATTTGCCAAATGAAAATTTGCGGAACGTTGTTTGCGATGTGATAATTTGGGAAACGTTTTTTGGCCAAACATTAGTAATCCGTCCGAAACACTTTTGATAGCATTTTTTCCACTCAGCTTGAAGCACCTCCAAAGCATGGTTTTTGACCGCACCAACTGTTGCTTCTGGCTACATAAATCGCTGTTGACGCATTTAATATGGGTACCAAAAGAAGTGTTTAGATTCCAAGCAAGAATTTTGTAGCGTTGGACCTGTTTATTTCATATTTTGAGTGTTTGACGAGACGTGCAAAAGCTCACATTTTCGTCACGAATGGCGATTCGACTATGCTGGTCAGTTTCCATTATTAAACTGAAGACTTTTGGAAAAAAAAGTGGCTGTTTACTATTAAAAATTAACTATTCTAAATTTCTCTAGTGACGTTTCTGTCGTATAATCGGATATTTCGGAAAAATAGGCGACCGTAAGTTTCAAAGTGTTCCGAGCGCATGGGACTTTTGTTGGAATTGGTTCATCTTAAAACACCTCCATAGTCGATAGCNACGTCGAAAACTTAGGAGAGTCTTAATGGGCAACCAATGAAGCCATTAAAACAGTAAAATCTTTTGTAGGAATTATTTCCGATTTAAAAGCTAATTCTACTGGACTATTAATTGAATGGCACTTGTACTAACTATAATTTTATTATACGCATTGTACCTATTTATATATAACAGTAAATTATAAACTCGAGTGAGATTGTAAACAACCCCCCATAGTATAAATTCTTAAAACTTAATTCAAGCTCAATGTACCTACACGTTACGATGCGATCCGATACCCAGGACGAGGGTTCTATTTTGTAGTCCCGGTGACACAAACCGAACCGGCACTCGATAGCACAATTTTAACCGAAATCGCATTCTGGGATGGACTAAGAAGCCAACTATATAGCTGTGGACGGTCAACAACTAACCAAGTACCAAGAAGATATTATACTTCGCCTGGTATTATAAGATTAGGTATACAAGTTGATAGAATTGATCGTATGAGATGGGACTATGGGAGGTTCTTACCTTTGCAATAATTGGAATAACTACCTAATTTTAATTCATGCAGAAGCAGATTATACCACAAATACTTAATTGTCCAAAACTTATTTACTAAGTAGGTAGGTACTTTTACTTACTTTACTTATAGGTATTTAGCTCATCTACCTCTTCTTCAGTCTTCTTAGCCATAATTAATTGGTTGGTAAACCCCCAGCCCACAAAGCTCGAAGTAAATAACCAAATCCGTTTCACTTTGTGTATTTAACTTTTTACTTAGTTACTTATCGCTTAAGTAAGCCGCATTAATAGGGAAGCAAATCTTTGGTAATAGGTAAACCTCTTAGTTTTTTAGGTAACGGCGCGTACGGCATTCCTAGCACATGAACTCATCTTTGTTAGTAACGCCGCCCTTATATTTGCACAGTCATTACAGCGATCCGACGAGCCCCACGCTGCGAGGATAATAACAGTCGGAAGTGATTACCTGGCGGGACTGTTCGGTTCGGTCGGCCCTACGCCCTTGGACAGGGCTTCGAAACCTTTTGGAAAATTTCGACGAATTTTAGAGCTTTTTCGACACTAACACGAGACATGACAATGATGACAATGACACGAAAATGGTTTCGATTCTCTGATTTATGCCTGAGTTCGCCTCATCTACCTATCTTCTCAGTCGTTATATTCTTGTCATAATTAACATTCGCCCATAACAAATCACACCATGATTACCGCCAACCATTATGTCAAGAATATAACAACTCTAGTCTCTACCTATAGGTAACAGAAAATCCACTAAGTTCAGTGTCGCATTCAATCACAATTTAACCTCCAATCGTCTCATCCAATATAGGTAGTGGATACTGTGCGCTTAATTTAATAAGACAAGAATGAAAATGAACAAACAGTTTATCTCCCCTGACTCAGACGCACGTCCGAAAGTAATCTGCCCTAGTTGATTGATTGGTACGGCAGGGGACGGCGACGATTTGACGACTGGCGCATTGAGTCATCCTAGCAAGATGAACTTCCATTGTCTACAGTTATGGCTGCATTCCTGCAAGAAAACGTCTTCGAGTAATGTATGACAGTCTCCGACACCAACTTGGTAGCAAGTAGATACCTAATAGCGAGTTCGCGACCATTCCTGCAAGTTATCACTCAAGCTATAATTTAAACTATGTTAGTAGCATCGACTTGCAACTGATCTTGGTCAGTCCAGTTTAGTTATATACCAAAGGATACCTATCTTGTAGTCGCAGCAGTTTGTTTTTGAAAAATGAGCCAACGGCCGATTTGTGAATGTAGGTACAGTGTACACGGAATAATTCGTTTTAAAAGTTTCAATTTTCAATTATAAAACTCACGCAATACTTCCACAACTTTTCATAGATGTGCAGATGGAAGCGGCATAAGACTGCAGTCTCCATGATTTCGTAAATTCATCTAAATACAATAAGGAAAGTTGTGGTTGGAGGCATGGTATGCAAAGACGTCTAGGTCTAAGTTGGCGGTATTCAAACACTGCGGGGAGGTAGAATTGGAAGAGCAAACACGGCGCGCCCGCCCGGCGCCGCGGAACTGCGCCAACTTCACAAACTTTGGTAACTTGAGAGCCAGTTGCCACAGCCAGGCGCTCGGTACTGCGGACGGAAATGCACTTCGTAGAATCTAAGTAAGTATTCTCATTCACTTATCCGTAAGTATAATTGATAGTAGGTGCTTACCTACGTCGCAA